GAGTGTTTGTTGTGCCAATATGTTCTAAAAGATGGTGGCCAAGTTATCGTAGAACGACTGCACAGTCACACAGCATTCGTCCTATGTTTACAGACAGAGATAAGGTGGAGGAGCTATCAGCAGAAGCAATGAGGCTCAGCGTGCAGAGTTTGGGTTTTACATTTGAACAGTTCTCCATCCAACGGTAAGTAAACATACTGTGTGCATGGCAGCAATTATCTGTAGAACGAAAACAACAAATAGTGTCCCGTCGTCGTTTGTCTCCTTCTTCTTTCTAGTGGCTTTCTGTCTTTACAATAGTGGCATTCTTTCTTTTTTTTATACACAAATGAGCAATAGCAGCAAAAAAAAAAAAGCCTTTTGAAATGCCTTAATGCAATGGAGCTGCTAAGCACTGAGTTGTATTAGGTTATCAGTGGAATCCCTCGCAGCGTGAGACATAAATCACACACGTCAGTCCTCTTTCTATCTTTTTTTTTGCCTCGTTCATTCTGCAGCCTGCTGACTTTTCTGTCTCAAGGGGGCTTCAACCTTGACTAGCCCGTGACGCATACAATCCTTCCTGGACCAGCCATGACATTAATATCATATTCCTGTCTGCACTCATTCTGCCTGAGTGGGATTGGTGTTTACATTCATCCATGTAAATGTCTAAAGGTGTTTATCTAGTTATCTCTGGCAGAATCTGCTGTTATACCGCGTCTGATTCTGGTTCTAAAATGTGAACACCAGACATGTGATTTGCTCAAAATGCACACAGCAATGTAGCAAGCCACTTCCATTATTATATCCAATATTCTCAATTTCCATCCATGCTCAAATTTCAACTCATCCGATTTTTTCTTTTGCTCCTAATTACCCGATGTGTCAGTCGAAACTCTCCATTAACACTGCAGAAGGAACATTGTTGTATATTTCTCACTTCTAATGGAAGTCTGGGACCCAATCGAATTGTAATCCCGCAAGCCCCGGCTTCATCAAGATCTATTATTGAGCCAAAGTGGCAGGTGCCTGTTATAGCCTCCCTCCTCTGCTAATGTTCCCCCTCTGTTCCCACTGATTTGAAGTCGGCTTCATCGCCTGAGAGCTGCAGTGCATTTCAAAAAAGTCTGCTCTCCTTTGCGAGCTGCCAGAGCTGTGGCAGGTGTAAGACATGGCCAACCTGGGACCTGAGCTGTGGAATGAAAGTAATTGCGTGAATTCTCTCTCTATGCTGCAGACCAGTAAAAGACCCAGCTACCATCCGGGACTCGGCCTAAGCCTGCGAGGTGGCTTTGTGAGATTCATTTGGGCTTACAGCGCGGCTTAGCAAAGACCTGATATATTGAGGCGCTGCGCTCTTGTGCTGAGGGGGAATTTTGCTTTCATGACAAGTGTGGCTTGGCTGCAGTCCTGACACACCCTGGCACGCCACAAGGCAGATGGTGTTTCCCCCGGCGACGCTGCCGCTCTTAGCACCCCTCTCCTCACTTCCCTATGCTCCTCCTGCTGTCGAGGAGTCATTAGTACAGTGGGACAGGAAGGACACATTGGGACAATTTGGAAATATGAACCACCTCCTCCAACCAAACATGAACTACGCTGCAGGGGCCGGGCGACGGAGCCTTAGATCATCTTGTTGATGGTTCAAATCCCCAAATGCAAAGAAAGGATCCTTGTGGGCTAAAGTTAATGACAGTTTTGCTAATGATTGAGAATAAAATAATGTATCTGTTCACAACAAAGCTGCTCAATTTGGAAATAATAACTAATTGCGATTGGATATTAGAGGGAATTATGCTTTTGGAAGCATTATTCACAGTAGCAATGAGAAATATATTAAAATGATCATGGTGTGTTGTTCTTGAGATGATCTGTAACAAACAAGACTTCTCACAATACTTAATTTCGATATTTTCACATCATTTGCTTATACAAAATATTAATTAATATAACTGCGATGATGATGCCTAAACAGTTGATAAATTCCCCATTCATTCAAAGATTCCTCAGTTCCCACACAACTCCTTGATGTTGTAACACAGTTTCCCAAAAACTCAAATTGAAAGTAAGAATTGCAAGAGGACGGATGACTAATTTGTATCCAAGGGCACTCAGGCTGGTGACTGGTTTGTCATCAGCTTAAAGTGGCTTTTTATGGGAAAAGAAAACTTGACTTGCCCTGCCTATCTAAGCCAGGTGCTGAAATGAGCTTTTACTGCCCTGCTCTGAGCTAATTATACACATGCCTGTAAAATGTAAATGCTTTTTTTTGTAGTGTTAGCTGCTACAAGACGAGCCTTCACAACCATATTTAAGTATATACATAAGGACAAAGGAGGTACCATCATTAAGACATTGTTAGAATATGTTTTCCTTTTAAATCAGTCAAATCTTGAGTGGAGATATTTTCGAATTGCATATTTCTTTAGGTCATTTTAAAAGAGCAGAACAACCAAGAGCCTGATTGTGATTCCTACTGTTCTTGATAATAAATTACAAACCTGTTATACTTTTGATTTAGCCTGATTATGATTGTTTGAGATGGATAAAGAACAAATACTTAGACTTTAATTGAAGTGATTTACATATTTACATATAATTGTCTATCTATTACAACGCTTCTTTACATATTACCAAAGCAACATTTCCAAGCCACAAATATTTACCACTTTTGGACAGGAAATGATATCATGCATAAACTACGAGCATGGTGTTTGATGTTTGATTACAAAATCCAAGCTTTGTTTGCATTTTTCTTATTAATTACAGATTTGAATCCCAACACTGAACTCTGTCTGATGCAATCAACATTTTCTTTTTATAACACACCCTGCCCTTTTATTGTCCAACATTATGTCAACAGGAAAGGCAAAAGATGATGTCATGTGTTTGGAGTGGCTCTCTGCACGTAACTCAATACGTGATTGCAATTATGTCCTGAAATATGCTCAAACATTGGCTCATTAATGTGCATAAGGCGGTCTAAGTTGAATGTGTAATCTCTGCTGAAACCGCAAATATGTAAACTATCTCTTTCGTCTAATGCTTCTGGAGCGAATGTGAGATGAAGCGTTTGGAGTATTTTATCACATTTGCGGGCTATGGTCTAAAACCTCGAGCCACTCTGCTAAAGTCTGTGGACCGCAGTCAAATGGCCACTGGCCTTCATCCCACGCATTTAGGTGATTCATATGTTTTTTTAGTGAGGGTGACTTATTCTTAGGTTTGGGCTGTGTTTGCAGTGACTGTATCATAGGTGGGTTTGGCACACGCCATGATTACTGAGTTACTATGCAACAAGGTGCGACACTGTGGCTGCAACTCATAACATGTACAGAGTTTTGGGGTCTCTGGGGCTGCAAACATGTTGCTTATCTGAATTGTAATTACATTTCGAGTGAATTATGTATATTGCTGTGGCACAAAAACAAACTAGGACAATGTTTGTATTGGATTTTTCTCCCTGCTTGAATTCACAGAAGCAAAACATTTGAGGAACCCATAATTATGCTGTGGCAGAAACAAGTCCTAGTTATTTTCCCCAAAACAGATGGATAGGGAGTATCGAAGAAGGTGGATTTAACACACAGTAGCAGCTATGAAACACATCCGTGGTGCTTACCTCCATGCTATTATTGCCTAATCCATGTATAGTGGAGATGATCTGCGCAGGAATATACCTGCCAGCATTCCTCTGCCACTAAGCGGCTTACACGTGATAGCTAGTGAACTTTTTTGCATTTTTTGACACTTCACCTTGATCACTACTGAAAAAAGGTTGGTGCTTTCCCAACTGAAGTAAAATACCAGAGCTGGAGGTGTGTGTGTGTGTGTGTGTGTGTGTGTGTGTGTGTGTGTGTGTGTGTGTGTGTGTGTGTGTGTGTGTGTGTGTGTGTGTGTGTGTGTGTGTGTGTGTGTGTCGCCCCGCCCCGCCTGCCCGCCCGGGTGGCCAGCATAAGGGGTTAACTTCCGGGAAGTGTGCTCCCTCTGTGGCAGAGATGGACAGTGGTTGGTCTCTAGAAAGCTGGCTCTGTTTGACAAACGGCGCGACGGGCACGAAGCACGGTCCTGTTTACCCTGCCCGGCCGCCAACCACCAGATGTGTGATGACCTTATTTATACGAGAACAAATCCCTGCCCCTTACACATGACTCATAGGGTGTAATCCAGGCATTTAGCCGACATGCTCTCTTAGGTGTTTGCATAAGAATTTCCCTTTTTTTTTTTTAACCCTGGACTGAAATGTTTCCAAGTTACAGAACATGCGGTGTCCTACACGTCTGCCAGACTCTCAGGAGCCTCAACAGAGAAAAAGTACATTTTCTATCAGCAGGCCCAAACCCCTACAGGCACTCCCCCTCATTAGATGGACGGATGGCTCAGATGGGAGTCTGTTTCCCTTCAAATGCTAGATCTTGACTTTTAAAGCGGTGTCCTGGTAGATGAAGCAAACATTTAAAGGAAACAAATATCCCCCCAAGGCACTATATCTGCGGACTGTTGCTCTGCTCCCTAAAGGCTTCAGCTGTATTTCTGGGTCCCGGGACATCCACCTAATTGCCATCTACTGCACAAACTGCTCGGCAAAAGAGCAAGACTGCAATTAGCCATGGCTCGCCGCCAGCTCGGTAAAAATCTGCCAAATTGTTTCTCTTCAGAAAGTTGAGCAGTTGTCTTCCTTTCCTCTACTTTTGAAATGTAGGCCTGTCACTGTGCTATCGTATAATTAGGAAGACCAGCAGTAGCAGAGAGCGTGCTGTAAGGCTTAAAGCCGAGGCATTGTGGTGGTGTGCAGAGCTATACAGACACAGGGTATAATTTATGTATGTGTTTCCTCCTTTATCTCCGGAGTATGGACATGACTTGGTCCTCTCCTGGGCCGCAGCATTATCTGTCAGGCAACTCTCCTGGCACCTATCTATGTTGTACTGTTCAACAGAGCAAATATTCCCCTCCTGCTGTTTTCACTTCTCCCTCCATTTCACCTTTCCTTGTTTTTTTCCCCTTTTCTTCTGCAGCTCATTATCCTCGAAGACTACGCGGACCCTTTCGATGCCGAGCAGGCTGGTGGCACTCAGACCAGCACGGAAAAAGTGACGACCACGGAGAATGACGGCTACATGGAGCCATACGAGGCCCAGAAGATGATGGCAGGTAGATGGCATTTCAGTTTTCTTACATCTCCATCTCCAGCTGCTTCTGTCACCTTGTGCCTTTGATGCTTTCATACTGTAAATCACAGTGGAGCATTCATTAGTATGCAGTGTGATTTGAGCATATGTCCCGAAAATGGGAATATATAAAGAGGCTCAGATGGCCTAATGCAGGATTACATGACAGGTGCAGCAGAGCATAAATGACCCGCCTGTGGTGAAAGTTGTCAAAACATTTCCAGAAGCAATGACTTTGCCCCTAGAAACCATACAAGCCAGAAAGTGTATTTAAATACACACTTCAGAGGTCCAATGAAGAGAGCACTTTTGTTTTTTAATATGCTTTTCCCCCCCCGCTGATCTGTTTGCATGTTGAGACAGCTACATGCTGGGATTTCCAAGAAGGCCCAACAATAGCTGTGTGTTAACATAAGAATTTCAGCCGAACCACATTCCCCACACGGCTTTGTCACAGCGCACATTCATTCTGTGGCAAAGTTAGCACAGCAATGACAAAGAACAAAGAATGTGCAGGAAGAAAAAGAGGAGAAATGTTGAAAAATATAGAGAGAACAGAACATGCTGCTTTTCCTCTCCCTGAAAAGCTTTCGTACCCAGGAAAGGAATGTTTGTATGACTGTCAAACCTCAAGTGGATGTTTGTGGATGACACAGAGATATCAGCACTTATACCTTGATACACTGATACACACGCACGCACGCACGCACACACACACACACGCACACGCACACCCATATAGGCAGGGCATGAATGTCTCTGTCCCTCCTCAGCAATTTTCGTTTAATGGGCCTCCAGACAATCTCTTGTTTTCATCTGTCTTACTGGTTTGACCTCTGGCCCAGTCATTGCCTCAGCAGAGTAAAAAAAACCTTAAGATTTATCGCTTCTCTCTGAGGCTGAGGAAGCTGTAGAGAAAAGCACACTCTGAACAAGGCTTTTGTTGTATCACTTTGAATCTTGAACTGATTCCAGGTTTTTTAAGTTCAACTTGACATCGTTTTACACCTAGCAAACTAAACTATGCTGGCAGCAGTTGTCTGTTTGATCGGATGAAGTCTTCACTTGGGTTCCTGTTGTTGCTCCTGTCTTTAAAACCTGAAGCGGTGTTGTTTTCAGGCTGGATGCTTTTATCTATCATGTCTATTGATTGCCACTTTTTGTTTTTCGTGTCTGCTGTTTTGACTGGGCTGGCAGGGCGTTGTTTTAAATAGAGCTGTTGGATTTATTTGGCTTTGTACTGTCATCCTTTTAATTTTCATAATGATCCATGGATTTATTTCATAGATGGCTGATTTCACAAGCACTAAATAGTACATGAAATTCCAACATGCTGGCACAAAGGTAGGAATGCCATTACTCGAAGAGGGTATCATTTCACAATGTTTGATATACTCACCTGCAAACAGGGCATTATGGGAAATGTCCACATAATAAATTAAATGTCTGAAAGAACGTCAGATAAGCCATATTGATGACTGTGGGTTAGAATGTTCTGTAATATGAATCATGCATATAACCATATATACATAATAATGGTAGTTGAAAATCTAAAAGTATAATCATGGTTAACTGCGCCAAAACCAAAATGCTATGTTTCACTGGCTCCCGGTAGCATATGAAGTGTTGCTGATTTTTATTCAACATGTTCTGTATCCAAGCACTGCTTTTTTTTCAGCAACACCTTGCTCCAAATTCACAAAGTTTCCCAGTTACACACCGCCACCCATGTAAATGTAAAGATGAAGTGCCCAAGGATGAACCTTTTTTAATCCCCAGTGGGAAGGCCATTTATTGTATACACACACATTAAAAATGCACACATGCATAGGACCGTTACGGATTAAGTCTGAATACAGATATGTACAGATAGACATTTTTATAGAGAGGTGTCAGAGCCGAGAGACTGCTAGGTTGTTCGGCGCTATAGAGAGCAGTTGGGGTTCAGTGCCTTGCTCAAGGACATCTTGTCAGTGCCCATTAGGCAAACTGTCTGGCACCTTTTCCCCAGTCCAGACTCCATATTTTTGGTCCGATCGGGACTTGAACCGGCTACCTTTCGGTTCCTAAGCCAAGTCCCTACAGACTGAGCTCCTGCCGCCCCCAAATAAGGGTCAGGCAATAAATCAATGAGTCTAGATATCACCTTCGGATATTCTAGAGATCGTATCATTGCATACGTTTCTTTTTACGGGATATGCAGGCTGCATTACAGTTAAGTGATGTACTAAAATTACCGACTGTCCCATCTTTTTCCATTTATATCCACATCTAGAGTGTACAGTATATTTGCAATATTGATATCAATGTATTTAGTTATAAATATTGTTTAATGTTTTCTCTCCCCATCACTCCAATCTCCAATATTTGTTGGTATACTCACCGTGAATAAATAGTAATTGCTGCATCTTCCTCTCTGGCGGCGTATTGGTCAGGCAACACAAACTGCACTCTCAGACCTTAGTAGGGGAAAAAGGGTAGGAAAGAATCCTTGGGCTGCTGCACTGAAGTAAATAAATGACCAAACCGCTCATGTGAAGCAAGAGGCGTTCATGTCTCTCTCTTTCTCATTCTGTCACTGTTGCTCTCTCTCATCTATTTCTCTTCCCCTCCCCAGGCACTTTGGTTCTCAATGACAACCTGCAATGTTGGCAATACCTGCGTTTTCCTCTTCTCAGACTGTGGGCTGCAGATAACCGTTTCTCTTCCAGCCTTCCTCTTCTCCTCTTCTCACAACTTGCTTTCACAGATGGACACAAAAGCCCCAAACATGCCAACACAAGAGAAACGTTTTTATTTATGGCTGTCGGAGCAAGTTTTTAATTTACCACCAGCCAATTTCATATCATCTATAAAATGCTAAATCTAACTCCTCATGAAAAGGGCTGTCTGAACTTGTAAAATTCAAAGGTGTGTAACCCATTATTTCTCGTAAAAAGTGTTTCGAATTAATTCTAACAAGTAGCCTGAAAATAAATCACGACCACCTGACGTTTTTAGTTTGTCTTCACAGACGACCTTTACGTTTCAAGTTTCAATACAAGATTTACTTTGAGCTGCTGTCGGTCTGGATCTCACACACAGTCACTCAGTTACACAAAAACACACTCCGATCAATCTCAGTAATTAAATACTCCTACTATACATTATAATGTCCTGCATACAGTAAAGGCCTTGATACCACGTATATCCCTGTTTATGGCTCATATTTCTGACTCATGCAGAAGCCTTTGCATGTCTTAACCTTTTGGAAGTGGACGCCTCAGATTAGCATCTGTAGTGTTGAGTAATCACTTGTGGTTTTTGCCCTGCACTTCCCAGAGATCAGGGGGTGTCAGCAGGTACTCTGCAAAGTAACACTGTGACTAAGCTGTACCATGAATGCTTAAAAAAAGATTTCTTCATTACCATCTCATTTACATTTCAGAAACAGAAACAGGTTTATTGCCAGGTAGGTTCACACATACGAGGAATTTGACTTGATGTCATGGCGCATACATAAAATATAAAACAAGAAATCTAATGTAAAACAACATTTCTTTAAGGACATCGTAATAAAATATAGTTAAATAGCAATAAAATAAAGCAGTAATTTACAGGATATGAAATATGAAACGAGAAATATGTGCAGTAAGCAGTAAGAACATTGTGTGCATTAATGTAATGCGTATAGAGTCTACGTTGTGGCTGAGGTAAGTACCAGTGGGGGGGCCGGGTCTTGTTTAATTAAGAGGCCGGTAGCGGAGGGGAAGAAACTGTTCAGGTGGCGAGAGGTTTTGGTCCTGATGGAGCGCAGCCTCCTGCCAGAGGGGAGGGGGGCGAACAGTTTGTGTCCAGGGACGGAGGGGTCGGCCACTATCTTCCCTGCCCGCCTCAGGGTTCTGGAGGCGTGCAGGTCGTGGAGGGATGGCAGATCACAGCCGAAAAAGTGGGAATTCTGCTTGTAAAAACATAACGTTTCATTTAGAAAGTCGCAGTGAGTGAGTGTATATGGATTAGAGCCTCTATATTTTCATGGTATTACTGCAATAGGTTTCCATAAATATGTTGAATACAGAGACTTTTATCCAAACCTAAAGGTTAATGAGCTCAATTCGTACATGATGCAGCCGTTGGCGCAGGTGCTTTCTGTACAAGTCTGTGATTAGCAAGTATGAGGTCAGCCTGAACTCATATGCTGATTAAAAAAGGCTTTTGTTTTCTCAGTCCTCTGCTCCGTTGCATTTAGCTTTTTATGAGCCATTCCAGCCTCATGAGTTAAACCACTTGATTGATTATTATGCTTTACGATGTGCTCTCATCTCAAATGATATGCAAGCTACAGGAAGGCCATTCATTTTATATGGAGAACAAAAAGCTTGTAGCGCTATAATCCCCACTCCCCATAAACTTCCAATCAGATGTCGGCGTGTCCTATTTTTTTCCTGCTGATTTCACTCCATTCACTGAAGGGTGAATTATGAAGGGACATCCTTACAGTCTTTCAAAGCTACTGATCCTATATCACTCTATTGTCCACAAGAGAGGACATTTCAAGGCACAGTGTTGTTTAGTTACACCTGCGTTTGTTCCATGTTCCTTTCCTACGTCCTCTTTCCACAACTTGAATTTGAAAGCATACAGACTAGAGCTGAAAGGACCAGTTTAGCTTTTAATCGATGAGTTGATCGACTGACAAAAAATGGCAGCATTTTTCACGTATTGGCTGCTAAAAGATATCTAAATACTGATTACTATTTTCTTTGAGGTAATAAAAAGGAGTATCCATACTTTTTACAACAGGGCTATTATGCTCAGAATCTAAAAAGGTATCAATAACCGATACCCAGCCCTATTGCAATCTGTATGTTTTGTATATTTAGACTTTAGACATTTTAAGGTGTCATTTTTGGCACTGTAAATACGTGTTGGCCATTAGTTGATGTTCGCAGACTGAACATTTATTTTTGAATTGAAAGAAATGATCATCAGATCATTCATAAA